TGAGGTGGAAATTGTTACAAAGTATCTAGGCTTAACAAGCTCCAGGGTGGTCTCCGGTTTGTGCGGCTGTTTGGTTCCCGAACCATATAGTCAAAATACACGAACAGAGACTTTTATATCACATTTTACAAGGTCCATAGTCTGTGGCCAGGAGGCTGGCAAGCAGGCTCCTCCAGGAACTCGTGGCAAACTCACTTGAAAAGGGGAGTTTGTCACACTCATTATTGCTAAATTATCATTGTTACTCCATGTGAAGAAACTACCCCTGTTATTTCGACTTTTGTTGTTTCCCTGTTCGGTAGATAAAACTACCGAACACCGACCACCTCCTGGCTCATTTACTTTAAAGCAAACCGCCAATTTAGTGCTCTCCTTGTGTGGCCGCTGTTCGTATAGTCGAACGCCATGTGCAGGAGAAAACGGCGGCCATCTTGTTTCGCACAAAAAGAGGCAGCGGGATTTGGTCGTCGAGTGTCTGGAACCAAAATCGAACGCCGGTCAAACTACATGAACGCCTGCTTCCTTTCACAGACCAGCCAGGAGAGCGCTATTCGGTAGATTTGTTCTCACGAACTAGGGGAACAACGCTACCTATGAGCCAGGGGAACCGTTCGTGGATTTATTTGTTTTTTTGTACTTGTCGAAATAGACCGACCGCACAGCCCAATTTCATGGAACTACTTCTGGGCAGAAGCATCTTGTGCGGTCAGTCAAATTAAAACTTCCATGGAATTCCTGAACCTCTGAACCGATCTGGGTGATTTTTTAATATGGTGGTCCCCTAGATCGGGGCTATCAGGGGATATGTCTTTTATGGGGTACCCATGGAGTTTGGGGTACTTTCTAAATTTTATGGAAATATATGTTTTTTTTGTGTTGGGAGATAATTGAGTTTAATAAATTGCTTTACTCAATTATCTCCCCAGTACCAGTGAAGATTATATTACTGTATGTAGGAGTGTCCTGAACCTGAGAGCCAACAGACTTACAGAATGAATTTTGCCACTGTCCCCTCTCAGGTCCAGTGGGAAATGCCCCTGAAATTTGTCAACTGAAACCCTGTGCATTATTCACTGCATATAAACCATTCCTGTTATACCCTTCATCTAGTTTCGACTGATGTTTGTGTACCTGTCTACCTTCCTGGGAGAATATACTCGGAGGCTCTAATTCGTCTGGAGAAGCGTTCAAATCAACACCCGAACTGCAAGCTATAATCACTCAGGCTCTAGCAGTCCTTAAAACCCATCTCTTTAGGAAAGCCTATGGCCTCCAAGACTAACCCCTACCTCACTTACCTGTCTCTTGCCCTCCCCTAATGTCCTAATGTGTCTTACACCCCACCTCCTATAGAATGTAAGCTCGATTGAGCAGGGTACTCTTCAACCTATTGTTCCTGTAAGTTTATTTGTAATTGTCCTATTTATTGTTAAATCCCCTTTCATAATATTGTAAAGCACTACGGAATCTGTTGGCGCTATATAAATGGCAATAATAATAAAAATAATAATAGTTCAGGAGAAAATAAACGAACGGGTGCCTGTCATACCAGCGTTCATTACACTCCATTATATTTATTACTATTGTTTATTACTAATTTATCCGGGAGTTATTAACTGAACAAATTTAGCTGTATTTACAGCTTGGCTCTTTCAACCTAAATTTTGTAAATTAGTTTTCAATTAACTGCTTAGTGGACAAATCCCAAACAGTAGATTTTTAGCGATTTCTCCTAATCGTGAGTGAAGAATTAAAGATGCAATCCATTTTTTAATATGTGCCTTCGTTGGACAACCCGTGATGAATTACTAAAATATCTGCCGCGGAGGTCTAAGCTTTAACGCAATTAAATAACTAAGATGTCGTTCTTGACTTTCTAGACCAAAAAATGACATTGTAACAGAAATGTACTGTCTTGAAATACAGAGAACGGGTAACATGTATGAGAGCACTGATGCCTAAAATTAGTGAGACTCTTTGAAAACCAGCTAAACTTGTCAGCTCATTACTCTGACAGACCCCAGGTCCCAGCGATATTACATTTTGTGCTATTTTGGTGACTGATTAACTGGCATGTCTGTGCCGATGCTGTTAGACCTGCTAATGACCTCTGTACTGCACTACCACTTGTCAGGACCCAATAAAGATGTTCATCCCACAACATTTATTTTTATAAGCCTTATTATTTATATAAAGAAGAGTTTAAAGCAGGAATAGATAAAACTACCGAACACCGACCACCTCCTGGCTCATTTACTTTAAAGCAAACCGCCAATTTAGTGCTCTCCTTGTGTGGCCGCTGTTCGTATAGTCGAACGCCATGTGCAGGAGAAAACGGCGGCCATCTTGTTTCGCACAAAAAGAGGCAGCGGGATTTGGTCGTCGAGTGTCTGGAACCAAAATCGAACGCCGGTCAAACTACATGAACGCCTGCTTCCTTTCACAGACCAGCCAGGAGAGCGCTATTCGGTAGATTTGTTCTCACGAACTAGGGGAACAACGCTACCTATGAGCCAGGGGAACCGTTCGTGGATTTATTTGTTTTTTTGTACTTGTCGAAATAGACCGACCGCACAGCCCAATTTCATGGAACTACTTCTGGGCAGAAGCATCTTGTGCGGTCAGTCAAATTAAAACTTCCATGGAATTCCTGAACCTCTGAACCGATCTGGGTGATTTTTTAATATGGTGGTCCCCTAGATCGGGGCTATCAGGGGATATGTCTTTTATGGGGTACCCATGGAGTTTGGGGTACTTTCTAAATTTTATGGAAATATATGTTTTTTTTGTGTTGGGAGATAATTGAGTTTAATAAATTGCTTTACTCAATTATCTCCCCAGTACCAGTGAAGATTATATTACTGTATGTAGGAGTGTCCTGGGAGAATATACTCGGAGGCTCTAATTCGTCTGGAGAAGCGTTCAAATCAACACCCGAACTGCAAGCTATAATCACTCAGGCTCTAGCAGTTCAGGAGAAAATAAACGAACGGGTGCCTGTCATACCAGCGTTCATTACACTCCATTATATTTATTACTATTGTTTATTACTAATTTATCCGGGAGTTATTAACTGAACAAATTTAGCTGTATTTACAGCTTGGCTCTTTCAACCTAAATTTTGTAAATTAGTTTTCAATTAACTGCTTAGTGGACAAATCCCAAACAGTAGATTTTTAGCGATTTCTCCTAATCGTGAGTGAAGAATTAAAGATGCAATCCATTTTTTAATATGTGCCTTCGTTGGACAACCCGTGATGAATTACTAAAATATCTGCCGCGGAGGTCTAAGCTTTAACGCAATTAAATAACTAAGATGTCGTTCTTGACTTTCTAGACCAAAAAATGACATTGTAACAGAAATGTACTGTCTTGAAATACAGAGAACGGGTAACATGTATGAGAGCACTGATGCCTAAAATTAGTGAGACTCTTTGAAAACCAGCTAAACTTGTCAGCTCATTACTCTGACAGACCCCAGGTCCCAGCGATATTACATTTTGTGCTATTTTGGTGACTGATTAACTGGCATGTCTGTGCCGATGCTGTTAGACCTGCTAATGACCTCTGTACTGCACTACCACTTGTCAGGACCCAATAAAGATGTTCATCCCACAACATTTATTTTTATAAGCCTTATTATTTATATAAAGAAGAGTTTAAAGCAGGAATTTCAAAAGGAAGACCCCCAGCAATTGAAAACGTCCACTGTCGTGATGTTTTGCCGCTTATGGCTGGTATAGCATTATGAGAATTGTAGTTTTTCAACACCCCCTAAGGGTCCTCACTTTTATCTGCCCCTGTTTTAAAATATTCTGGACCTTTTCAGATCCAGTGCATTTCATGAGTAGTGGCCCTAAATTACTTCTAAGATATTGGTCCCAACATTTTACATTTCAGGGGTGTGGGGGGACCAGGTGTCCAGGGGATGTGCTATTTGCGAAATTTTAGGTGACTTACTAATAAAAATTTATATAACTAAAATGTAATTTAGAAAAAGAACCATGTATCTTATTTCCACAGACTATTTCTAAACACATTTATTGTAGTGTAAAGACACATTACTGGGAGTATTATTGCTGTGGAGCTCTGTTATACACTCAGACACATTACTGGGAGTGTTATTGCTGTGGAGCTCTGTTATACACTCAGACACATTGCTGGGAGTGTTATTGCTGTGGAGCTCTGTTATGCACTCAGACACATTACTG